TCCCATGAACAATTGTAGTTATTTTAATTTTTACGGTTTTGTGAATAAAAGGCTATGACCATTCATGTACAAGTTTGTTGTTGTTGTTCTTATGTGCCGTCAAGTCAGACCTGACTCATAGCGACCCCTCCTTGGGTTTCCGAGGCAGTATCACTATGGAAGTAGGCTTGCCCAACCTTCCTTCTGAGGAGTGGCTAGTGGGTTTGAACCGCCAGCTGTCTGGTTAGCAGTCAAGTGCCTTAGCCACTATGCTACCAGAGCTCCCCATGTACAAGTTAGAAGTCTTTTTATGGACAATTCATTTTACTTGGATACATACCTAGAAGCTAAATTTCTGGGTTTTATGATAAGTATGTGTTTATAAGAAATTGCCACTATTTTCTAAAGTACTTGTATCATTTTACATTGTAAAATTGTTTGAAAGTCTCACTTGCTCCACATCCTTGCCAAATTTGTTATTGTCAGTCTTTTTCATTTTAGCTACTCTAGTGAGTGTGCACTTATGTCTCATTGTCCTTTTAATTTGCATTTCCCTGAGGCCTAATGATATCTAACATCTTTTCATGAGCTTATTTTGGAAGTATTAGTTCTTTTGCTCTCACTTTTTTGGAAGGATTGTATGTCATATTAAGTTGTAAGAATTCTTCATGTATTTGTTACAAGTCCTTTGTTACACGTGTGTGTGTATGTGTGTGTATATATAGATACATGGATATACACATAGATATTCATAGTTGACAGAGAACTTCCAGAGGTGCACGCTGGATTCAGAAGAGGATGTGGAACAAGGGATATCATAGCTGCTGTCAGGTGGATCTTGGTTCAAGGCAAAGAATACCAGAAAGATGTTGACTTGTGTTTTATTGACTATGTAAAGGCATTTGTTTGTGTGGATCATGACAAATTATGGATAACATTGAGAAGAATGGGAATTCTTGAACACTTGATTGTACTCATGAGAAACCTGTACCTTGACCAGGAGGCTGTCGTTCAAACAGAACAAGGGGACAGTGCATGGTTTAAAATCAGGAAGGGAGTGCATCAGGGTTGTATCCTTTTTCCATACTTATTCAATCTATATGCTGAGCAAATAATCCGAGAAGCTGGACTATATGAAGAAAAACGTGGCATCAGGATTGGAGGAAGAATCATCAACAACCTGAGATATGCTGATGATAACTTTGCTTACTGAAAGTGAGGATGACTTGAGGCACTTACTGATGAAGATTGAGGAACACAGTCTGCAGTATGGATTACATCTCAGTATAAAGAAGACAAAAATCCTCCCAACTGGACCAGTAAGTGGCATCATGATAAATGGAGAAAAGATTGAGGTTGTCAGAGAATTCACATTGCTTGGTTCTACAGTCGACGCCAACGGAAGCAGCAGTCGTGACATTAGACAACATGTAACACTGGGCAGGTCAGCTGCGAAGGAACTCTTTCAAGTGCTGAGGAGCAAGTATGTCTCCTTGAGGACTAAGGTGCGCCTGACACAGGCTATGATATTTCCAGTCGCCTCGTATGCATGTGAGAGCTGGACAATGAATAAGGAAGACCAAAGAAGAGTTGATGCTTTTGAGTTGTGGTGCTGGCAAAGAATGCTGAAAGTACTGTGGACTGCTAAAAGAACTAACAGATCTGTTCTGGAGGAAGTGCACCCGCAGTGCTCCTTGGAAGCGAGAATGGCCAGAGTTAGTCTCACCTATTTCAGTCATGTTGTCAGAAGGGACCATTCCCTGGAGAATGATGTCATGCTTGGTAAGGTGGAGGGTCGACAAAAGAGGGGGAGGCTTTCAACGAGATGGATTGACATCGTGGCTGCAACGATGGGCTCAAGTATAGCAGGGATTGTGGAGCTGGCGCGGGATCAGGCAGTGTTTCATTCTGCTGTGCATGGGGTTGCTATGAGTCGGAGACGACTCGACAGCACCTAGCAACAACAACAACAACAACATTCATAGCAAAACATATACCAATTCAACAGTTTCTACATGTACAGTTTAGTAACATTGATTACATTCTTTGAGTTGTGCAACTATTCTCACCTTTGTTTTCTGAGTTGTTCCTCCTATGTTAACAAACATTCACTGCTTCCCTAAGGTTCCTATCTTAATCTTTTGAGTTGCTATTTATTTGATCCCGGATAGTTCTTCTGTGATTGACTTTCTTTGCCCTTTTCTTTTAACATAATGTCTTCAGGCTCCTTCCATTCTGTAGGATATATCAGGACTTCATTTTTCCTACTGGCTGAGTAGTACTCTATTGGATGTATGTACCGCATTTTGTTTATCTTTTTATCTGTTGATGCATATTTAGATTTTTCCACTTTGTGGCTATTGTGAATAATGCTCCAATGAACATCAGTGTACAAGTCTTTTTTTGAGTCTCTGCTTTCATTATGATAAGTGTTCAATGTTGATGGAGTTAAGTATTTCAGTTTTTTCTTTTCTGGTTTGTCATTTTTGTGACCTATTTAAGAAATGTTTACCTACCCCAAAGTGTAAAAATATTCTCCTTTGTTATCTTCCAGTTTTATAGCTTTAGCTTTTACCTGTATGTCTACTTCAAGTTAATTTTAATGTATGGTCAAGATAAGGATCGAGGTTCATTTTTTGGCTTGTTGTTGTTTTGTTGTTAGATGTTATAGGATTCGTAACAATTCTGTGTACAACAGAACGAAACACTGCTTAGTCCTGCACCATCCTTATAATCATTGCTGTGTTTGAGCCCATCGCTGCAGCAATTTTGTCAGTTCATCTTGTTGAGAGCCTTCCCCTTTTCCACCGAGCCTATACTCTACCTAGCATGACATCATTCTCCAGGAACTGGTCTCTTCTGGCAATATGATGAGATCAAAGTAGATGAGACAAAGTCTGGCCATTCTCGTTCTAAGGAGGAGTATTCTGGCTGTATTTCTTCCACGACAGATTTGCATGTTATTCTGCCAGTCAATAGTATTCTCAGTATTCTTCGCCAGCACCACAATTCAAATGCATCACTTATTCTTCCATCTTCTTTGTTCATTGGTGAGCTTTTATATGTGTATGAGGGTATTGAAAAGACAGTGGCTTGGGTCAGGTGCACCCTAGTTTGCAAAGTGACATCTTTGCTTTTTAACACTTAAAAGAGGTCTTCTGCAGCATAATTGCCCAGTGCTGTATGTCATCTGATTTCTTGACTGCTGATTCCATGTGTGTTCATTGTGGATAGGCATATGGATATGTGAGAATTCCAACATTATCTGTTGAATAGATAAGCCTTCCCCTACAGGAGATTATCTTGGAATTACCATGCCTGCTTTTGAAATCAGGGTAAAGCCAATCTCTTGAAATGAACTTAGATGTTGTTCCCTTTTCCTGTGTCTTCTAACATAATTTGGGTAGAGTTTGGTATTATTTCTTCCTTAAATGGTGATAAAATTCACCAATGAAGTCATCAGTGGCTATAATTTTCTTTGTGGCAAGGATATTTTATTCTAAATTCAATTGTGTTTGCAAGTAGAGGGTAGTTCACATACTTGATTTCTTTTTGAGTCAGTTTTGGAAAGTGGTGTATTTCAAAACATTGTGACATTTTATTTAAATTGTTAAATTTATTGCCAAAAAATTGTAATGAATTCCCCTCTTCTCCCTTCTGACCACCCTTGGTAACTACTAATAAACTCTGGTCTTTATGCATTTGTCTATTCTAGATATTTCATTGAAGTGGAATCATATAATATTTATCCTTTTGTGACTGATTTCATTCAGCATAATGTGTTCAGGGTTCATCCATGTTGTGGTGTGTATCAGGATTTTATTTCTCTTTATGGCTTAGTAATAGCTTTTGTATGTATACACCATATTTTGTTTATTCATTCATCTACTGATGGACATTCTTGTGATGTTTTTCTTTCTTACAAGAAATTAAAAGAAGAGAAATAAAAGATCCTTTTATGTTTACTATTTCATATCTTAAGTATCATTCTGTAGCTACATTTTCCCATCTGGTGGATAATCTTTCAAATGAGAAAGGAACAAACATTGAGTTATAGAGTATGTGGGGTCAGCACACTTTTCCTTTGAAGGGCTAGATAGTAAATATTTTAGGCTTTGTGGATTTTACAGTCTCTGTTGAAGCTATTCCATTTTGTGGTTGTATTGCAAAAGCAGCCATAGACAATAAATATGTAAACTAATGGGTGTGGCCATATGCCAGTACAACTTTATTTACAAATATAGATGGCTGGTAGACTAGATTTGGCCTTTGGGTTGTAGTTTGCCAGCTTCTGGTCTATGTAAGACGTATAAGAATTAACGTTGCCAGAGAATTGCTTGTATGTACCCTTACAGCAGTACTTAATGGGCTAAAATGTTACTCTCTTGTCTTTCTGTAACTCACTGATGGGGAAAATTGATCCAGGTATTCGTATTGGCAAACAATCTTACAAGGAAGTGTGCACATATGTGGCTTCTGTTTTAGAGACAAAAAACCAAGACCAAAGTCACTACCACCGAGTCAGATCTGACTCATAGCGACCCCTCCTTGGGTTTCCGAGATGTCGCTATGGAAGTAGATTGCCCAACCTTCCTTCCGAGGAGTGGCTGGTGGGTTTGAACCGCCAGTCTTCTGGCTAGCAGTCAAATGCCTTAGGCACTACCACCAGAGGGAAGTTAGATATTCATTAAAAATCACTACAATTTAGGAAAATGTAACAGGTTGTTGTTACACTAATTCAACAAATCTTTATGAGCACCCACTATTTACTCAGCACTGTCCTAGACTGTACTTTCATGAGAATGACCTTTGTCACTGCCCTCATAAAACTTACAGGCCACTTGATAGACTAACATTGAACATGTAATTGCACGTATGTTACATATTTCCATAAGCCACATTGTACCAACCACTGCATTTTAAGAAATAACTGAAGTTTTACTAATTACTGTATATAATGATCCTTTCTTGTATGAAGGTAATTACAAATATACCAATTAAATCTGTCTTTTTTATTTAAGAAAAGGAAAGAAAGAGAACAAAAAATTAATAAAGAAATGGAAGAAAAGGCAGCAAAGGAACTAGAGAAAGAACATTTGCAAGAAAAAGCAAAAGAAAAATATCAAGAATGGCTAAAGAAAAAAAATGCTGAAGAATGTGAAAAAAAGAAGAAAGAAAAGGTAATTTTATTAGACTGACCCATTCAAATATGTCTTAGGTGTTTATATGTACTGACTATAAAATAAATACACGGAGCTATTTCTGTTTATTCCAGTGTACTGTGTTTAAGCTTCTGAAATGAATATACATTTATGGTTTTCTATGGTTGAAAATATTAATAAACTTGTTATTTTTTTCAGTCAGGTTTAGAACTTTTTTGTGTTACTTCTTTTTAAATATTTTTCAATGCATTTGGAAAGTCGTATTACAGTAAAACAACATGTGAAAGCCAGAACCTATATAAGGAGGAAGGAGCTCTCGTGGCATAGTGCCTAAGGCATTTGTCCACTAGCCAGAAGGTTGGTGGTTCAAACCCACCAGCCACTCCACAGAAGGAAGATGAGGAAATCTACTTCCATAAAGATTTACTGTCTTGGAAATCCAGTGAGGGTCACCATGAGTCAGAATTGACTTGATGGCAGTCGTTTGGGTTTGGTTAGGATGTAAGGAGGAAACGTGTCAGAGAAAGAAAACTCAAACATTTTCCACTAATAGACAGCAATAGAAAAATGGTAAGACGGTACCATCTCAAAGGCAGGAAACTTGGAAGACCAAGAATAAGGCAGTCCTGTCAAGTTCCAGCTCTCACAGGTATCACTTTATATTATAATTACTATTCTGTTAAAATAGCAAGTTCTTTTTTTCTGCTTGGGTTCTTGTCCTATTGTTCAGTGGCAGACTTCTCAATACTACTTTCCTGATCATGTTAAATTTTGCTCTCAAATCATGGAAATATTATTCAGTATTCATGACCAGTAAGCAACTAAGGTGGGAAAACTGTTAGGAGGAAAAATCAGCAGATAGTGAATGGCATTGTTAAAGAATATAAGTTTTTTGGTCGTGTTATTTTAAGGAAAAAGAAAAACAACGGCAAGCTGAATTGCAAGAAAAAAAGGAAATAGCAGAAAAGAAGTTTAAGGAATGGTTGGAAAATGCAAAAAACAAACCTCGTCCAACTGCAAAGACCTATGGTTATGCCAATGGGAAACTTACAGGTTGGTTTTTATGCTAGTGGCTTACATAAATAATGGTTTGCAGGAACAAATAGTGTACATTTAGTTTCCTTTTGGCAGAAATAGAAGCATGTAAAAATAATTGTTCTTTCAAATTACTCTTTCCCTAAAGATTATATATAACATACTATATTCTTATGGGACTACTACAAATTAATTGTCATTTTACATCAATCGAATACTATTTTCTTAAAGTCAGTGGTTGCAAAACTCAAACTTAGGCTTTACAGTAATGATTTCTAACAGTAAGAAACAAGGAAAGTTCTCTTTAGGTCATGGGCAATAAGGCCGTAATCAGGACACAGTAAATGGATTACTTCTCCTTCCCTTCCTCTGACTGGCTCTGAAGCACACAGCTCCATTGCCTCTGGCACAGTGTTTTTCAGGGTGGAATACTAGACAACACGTGAACCAGACACAAACCCTTTAGACTTGGTCTGATTGTAAATGGCCATTCCTGTGCTTCACGTTGGAAATTCATACCTTGCTGACAGCTCCCTTCACTTGTTTAAGTGATTTATTATGAAAAATACTCCCATTCTATTTTGTTCACACAATAGAACATATTCCAGACTTTGTTTTGACCATTTTGGTGAAGTGTGTGTTGACATATCTTTGCAGTCAAAGGGGGCTGCCAGTGTCTGAATGACACATTCCTGCTGTCAGGATTTAGGCCTCTTCTGTGTCACAGAGGTCATCCATTACAGCTTCTAAGCATGGTCTACTGTCTTTTTTTCTTTCTTGTTTGAATACAGTGTTAATGATGAAACAGGGATTTTAATCATATGATTGGATGGTAAAGTTAAAATTTTACGGGGGAATATATATTGACTAAAAGCAAATTGCTAAAATAATGGATCTGTATCCATTGTGTCAAGTTCTAATGAGTTTAATTTCTAACAAACACTATATTTGTTTGCACATGCTTTATTGTTTTTAAGTCTCTGTTCCTTATGGCCATATCATTTTTTACAAATTGTGAAATCAAGAAATTTATGTGTATGTAGTGACTAGAAGATATGGATATAATTTGCAAACTATTTCTCTTTCACACAGTTATTAGATATCAGGTATTATGCATTAAACATATCATGCATTCCAGTAGGAGAGCACGCCACAATTATTAATCCAAAGCGCAATGATATTGTGAAATCTTAATAATTTGAGTAAGAAAATTTCAGTGATTGTGAATAAGAATTTTGATTCATTTTAGCTTCATTTTCAAAATAATTTTTTTTTTGTAAACTAGTGTCTGACAGTGGAAAACTAGTATACAATCAATAGTTCTCCAAACTGAATTCCAAACTGAATTAAGAAAATGAAGGTTTTGTTCAATTTAAGGGTTCTACCATTCATTTCTTCCTAAAACTTTTGTAAACATTTTCATTTGTATAGCTTTTAAATTAATATTTGGACTCTTAAGATTATTTGTATTTTGGTATTTACTGTAATATTTACTGTATTTGAGAAGAGTTAGTTGATCTTCAAGGGTTTGAGTCGTAAATGAATCAAAATAGTTTATCAATGACCGTTTTACCCTTCTTATTTTTTAACATTTTGCTAGAATTTTAAAATAAGTCGTTTCTGTGATTTGAAGTTTTTTTCTTCATCTTTTTTTTTTTTTTTTTTAATTTTTTAGGCTTTTACAGTGGAAATTCCTATCCAGAACCAGCCTTTTATAATCCAATTCCATGGAAGCCAATTCATATGCCTCCTCCCAAAGAAGCTAAGGATCTATCAGAAAAGAAGAACAAAAGACCTGTGATAAGTCAGCCACACAGGTCATCACCTCTGGTCATTCATAAAGCCAGAAGCAATCTTTGCCTTGGAACTCTGCACAGAATACAAAGATAATGTATGTGGGAAATAGCATGTTTTTCCTTGGAGCTGTTTAGTTTTAAAGTCAGAAATCATTTTTTACTACTACTTAGTAGCTCACTATTTGATGTGATAATTGACAATTTCCCATTTTGCATTTGTATGTGGACTCCTGGACTCCTTAGCATAATTAAAGAAAATACACATTTTGATTTTTATAAATATTTCAGGGTTGATCTTGGCAAATTGTTTTGCAGAATAAGTGACTAAATGTGTAAGAATTGTGTTTGTATTTGGTATGTCATTAAAGCTAAACTTCAGTACCCATAAAGCCAGCAATTTTTCTTGTATTCTTGAGTTTTTGTTCTTGTTTATGATCATAAGATTAAGTCCTTCAAATGGTCATTTCTAAACTACATACTTGAGTCTTAGAAGAATGTACATGAGTTAGAATCCTAGATTAATAGAAACCAATCTTTGCTGATGGTTTTCATATATTTTTCCCTACATGTTGTTGTTGTTGTTATTTGCTGTTGAGTCGGATGCGACTCATAGCGACCCCTCCTTGGGTTTCTGAGGCATTATCACTACGAAAGTAGATTGCCCAACCTTCCATCCGAGGAGTGGCTGGTGGGTTGAACCGCCAGCCTTCTGGTTAGCAGTCAAGTGTCTTAGGCACTATGCTACCAGAGCTCCTGTTTCCCTACATAGATATTTGAAAATAAACTAATTGGTGACTTGTAACAAAGAAATGAGGATTAGACTTTTCAAAGGAAAAGTTAAGATTTATTGGTGCTGTGGATCTTGAGAAATTAATGAATAGTATTTTGCTGTACTTTGTAAATTATCTGTAAATTAATTATAATTAGTTAGCTTGCTAATTTTGAAATGCTAAATTTGATTTGAATGTAGTATTACCAGTACATTAATTTTTATTGTTAAAAATGTTAAATATTCATAAAACTCATAGTTGTTGTTAGGTGCCATCACGTCGGCTCTGACTCGTAGTGACCCTGTGTACAACATAATGAAACACTCTCCAGTTGTGCACCATCCTCGCAATCCTCGCCATACCCAAGCCCTTTGTTGCAGCCACTGTGTCAGTCCATCTCATGGAGGGTGTGGTAGTTAAGTTTGTATGTCAACTTGGCTGGGCCTGGTTGAGTGGCTGGGCAGCTGGTGGTAGTTATTCCCCATGATGAGACTGGCAGTCAGCTCCATGGTGGGATCTACCACAAGCAGCTGAGTAGCTGCTTTTGGGTTGTGGTCTGCTTCCTATATATAAGGAGAAGCCTTGGGAATGGTCTCTAGCTTATGGCACGCTTGGACCCTACATGTAGCTGTATCGTTGTTCAGCAGCCTGCCATGCTCTGCCGACCTTGGGGCTTACAATGGACTTGAATGAATGGCCTGTTGTGTGGTTTGGTAACATCAGGACTGTGCCTTTTTACTTGTCAACCTTGGGCTTGTCAGCCTCAGTAATCAGCAGCTGTTTGAGTGAAGAAAAGCCTCTAGCTCCAGTGGGCCAGGAGCAGGAGGCAGAGCTGAAGTCCAAGGTTGAGGGGCTTTCACCCAGCCCCTAGAGGCTGGCACTTGGAACTTGGACTTAAAGCCTCCAAATTGTAAGAGAATAAACTCCTGTTTTTAAAGCCATCCCATCTGTGCTATACATCTGTCAGAGCAGCACTAGGTAACCAGAACAGAGTGTCTTCCCCTTTTTTGCTGACCCTTGACTTTACCAAACGTGGTATCTTGCTGCAGGGATTGATCCCCTCTAACAGTGTGAGCAAAGTAGGTAAGATCAAGTCTGGCTGTTCTCACTTCCAAGGAACAGTCTGGCTGCATTTCTTCCAGGACAGATTTGTTTGTTCTTCTAACAGTCCATGGTATTTTCAGTATTCTTCACCAACACCATAATTCAAAGGCATAAATTCTTATTCATTCTTCCTTATTCATTGTCTAGCTTTCACATGCATTTGAGGGAATTGAAACTACCATGGCGTAGATTAGGCACATTATAGTCTTCTTTGCTTTTTAACACTCAAAAGAGGACACTGGCATCACATTTGCCCAATGCAATATGTCTGATTTCTTGGCTGCTGCTTCCATGGGTATTGACTGTGGATCAAAGAAAAGGGAAATCCCTGAAAACTTTGGTCTTTTCTCCATTTGTCATGACATTGCTTATTGGTCCAGTTGTGAGGATTTTTGTTTTCTTTGTGTTAAGGTATAATCCATACTGAAGACTGTAGTCTGTGATCTTCATCAGTAAGTGCTTCAAATCTTCATTTTCAGCAAGCAGGGTTGTGTCATCTGCATATCACAGGTTGTTAATGAATCTTCTTCCAATCCTGGTGTCATGGTCTTCTTCATATAGTCTAGCTTCTCAGATTATTTGCTCAGCATATACAGGAAGTCGTTTAAAAGATTATTTTTTATTAAAATAGTACTCAGAACTTTTCTTTAAAATTTAAGTCTGTCTCTTTTTAGAGGACAATCAAGAAATAAACATTTGTTGAGGCAAGATAAAGTTCAGTATATTTAATTAAAAGTGATTTTTATTTAGAATATATTTCCATGTTTCTGCTAGGTAGTTTATGCCAAGTTTTGTGGTGATTGATCTGCCAGTGGTATTGGTTAACAAGCAGGCAACAAGAGAATACTTGAAAGGTTTCATGTCATCAGATATCTAGGAAAAATGTAAGCGGAGATCATTTTGAGAGGATTCAGTAGGGTTTGCTGGGTGAAAATATTGGTAAGCTTTAGAGGCCTGGCCATCTTTCTCAGAACCTTTTGGATACAGTGAAACTTCCAGATGATCATTCTACTTGGACAAATTCACCTATATAGAGAGAAAGACTTTTCCAGGGTAGCAATAATCTTGTGCATAAAAAACATTTAGTATGTTATTGCACAGGAAGTTTTTAGCTACAACAATAATTCTAATAAAACACTTTTCATTCATTAGTTCATTAATTAGTTTGACCAATGTTAATTGAATAGTTGTGGTGTGACAGACATTTTACATACTGATTTAGGAATTTAAGTGGAATACTATTTCTTCAATTTAGGAAACAGTTATACCCTAGCCAGGAAAATGTGTAATAACTATCAGTGATATATGTATAATTGTGATACTATATTCCTAAAGTCATGCTTATTCTAGGAACACAAATAAGAGACAGTTCAACTTGTGAAGGAGTTAAGAGGTGATATTTGAGTTGATAAAAGATAAACAAGAATTTTCTAGATGGTCATGAGGCTAGCCATACTCACAGATATGTGGTGAGAAGTGGATGGGGAAGAAGTCAGGAGTCAGATTGTAAAAGACTTCATGTGCTGTAGAGTTTGGACTTGATTCTGTGGGATTGTGATGACCTGTCATTACTGCCCTAATGATAGATTTTTAAAAGATACTACCAAATTCATTTATTATTAACATTCCCCCATTTTTGTCAATCAAATCCTTCAGACGAACCTATTACCATAGGATTAGTGTTTTCAACCTGAGTTAATTTCTCCTGAAGTCAAGGACCGTTATATTTTGGGCATTATAACTATTTGAAATTTCTGTGAAGTCTTAAAGATACCTCATGGACTTCTATTACTACTTTGATTGGGACTGCTCTAAAATATAAAGGTAACCTATATGTCAACAGATTCATGAACCAATAGTAAAAATAGGGATGGTAGATCTGAGTCTGTTTGAGTGGAAGGCATCACATTTTTTTTTTCTTCCAAAAGTTAGACACTTATCATAAGGATATGAAATGATAAGTGGAAGTATCTAAAAATGCAAAATTTTTGTATGATAACTCTGATAAGATATATCAGTACTCATTTTCATTAATGATAATTAACTTACATAATAATTGACTTTGGTTAATGTACCCATCTTGACTGACGATATTCTAAGAATAAATTGCCGGTGCTTGGAGTGAAACTTCATTACCCCATTGGTAAAAGTAAAAGGTGAGTATATCTGTTCCTCACTTACCGACTATCTCATTACCGACATTTCGCATTTACAAAAGTTAAAAAATCTATCCAACTGTCTTGTGCATTAGCAACGTACATCAGGCAGTGAAGAACTCCAAGGTGTGAGGTGAGAATGATACTGGCTGTGATAGTCAAGGTTATATGTCAACTTGGCTAGGCCATGATTATCTTTGGTTTAACGGTTATGTAATACTGTAGCCATCCTCCATTTTATGACCTGATGTGGTCACCATCCATTTTTGCATTGCACCGATTTTCATGTAACAACCTTATCTTTGGAACCTAACATGTTGATAAGTGAGGTGTGGCTTGACTCTTGTTTTCATATTCTTTACATTTATTCAATAAAAATTTATTGAATGCCTACTATGTGCCAGTTAATATTGTAGATGCTGGGGATTCATCTGTGAATAGGTAGAAAAGATCTTGCTGCCCTCATTGGTCTTATATTAATCAGAGACAACCATTAAACTTGTAAACAAATAACAATTTACTTAGCTATAAGTGCTATGAAGAAAATAAAATGGTATTGGGATACATAGTGACTGGGTGGAGGAGAGGGTACACTACTTTTGATGGGGTCTGATGGATGGTTTCTCTGTGATGGTTGCATGCAGATGAGCTAGCCTTACAAACATCTGGGAAAAGAGCCATCCAATCAGAGGGAACAGACTGTATAAAGGCCCTAAGGTGGGAATGAATTTGTTATCTTTACAAAAAGACTAGTGTGGCTGGAGTGGAGAAAGTGACAAGAAGGTAGTAGGAGGTAAGTTTGAAGAGAGCCTGGGCCAGACCATGTATAATCCCGAGTCCAGGAGCTTAGGTTTTATTGTAATTGGAAGGTGCTAAGCAGGGAATTAATGTGATCTGGTTTATGCTTTGAGATTATTGTTGCTACTGTAAGGAAAATTCCCTGTTAAGGGGTAAAGATTAAAAATAGAATAGTTGGAAAGATTCTGCAGTATCCAGGAAATAAGTCATGATTGTTTGGATTGAGGTGGCAGCAGTGTTATAAGAGGGAGAGATGCATTTGGCAT